TAGATCATTTTGAAGTGGTGGCCTACAAAAACCCAAATTGGAAAAGTTAGGCCACCATGTCAAAACGGCAAAACGACACTCCGAAATCCCTAAAATTCAATGTTTTCCAGGAAAATGGTCCATCGCGAAAACGTCAAATCGAGCAACAACAACGAAATGCCAAACGTCGTCGTATCGTGATTTCAGACGACGAGGAGGAGGAGAATTGATTTGGCGCCAATTCAAAAATTTTTAATTTTCAAAAAAATTGTTTTTCAATTTTCTCAAAAATACTCAATTTTTAACTCATTTTTATTCACATTTTTACTAGATATTTTCCCCAATTTTTGTTGTCAAATTGTTACTTTCTCCGGTTTTTTATTTTCAATTTTTTTTTGAACACTATTGTTGACCCGTCCCGATTTGTTGAATGAATGAATGATGCCTTGAATCATCGCTTTTTTTCTGTTTGTAAATCGTAAAATCCCCTTTGAATTCGCAAAATTCCGTCCCAAACATCAGAAATTGACTTCAAAAAACGTTCTGAACCACAAAATTGACCTGAAAAATGTTTAAAAAACGAAAAAAAAGTTTCGCTCCCGGGTGGGCTCGAACCACCAACCTTTCGGTTAACAGCCGAACGCGCTGCCTATTGCGCCACGGAAGCACACGGGAAGGAACTTAGCGGAGTATGTACAAGAAGGAGGGGGAGAGAGAAAGTTTTCGAGGAGGGTGGCGAGGCGGCGAGAGGATTTTTGTGCGAACTAGAACCTTCTAAACCTATTGCTATTGCTATTGCTCTTGAACTATTTTCACATATTTTCGAATGTTTCGATTTTTAAAGATTATGAAATAGATCAAGGCAAAACATGACGTCAAAAAAGGCCGAGAAATATCAAAAGATCGGCGCCACTTGCCGAGAGGGAAGAGACGCAGACACAAAAAGCAAGGCGCCGCACGCTAAAAGTGACGAGACGCAGACAGCGCGAAACGCTCTATTTTCGAAAAAGAGTTCAGCGCCAAAAGAAAAAGGGGCGGAGCCTATATTCTGGAGTATAAAAAGTGGATTTTTCAATGGAAAAAATATCAATTCAACAATGAATTCTACTACTACTGCTAATTTCAAGCTTTACTTGGCTCCCGGAGCCCAGGAGAGATTTTCCCTGGAATATTCGAATTTCGAAAATCTGATGGAGGCGTTGGAGATGCGTTTGGGTGAGCTTGGGCTCACTTTGGACATTGTATTCTGGAGAAATCCACTTGGCAATTTGATTTCGTTGGCGGCGCCAAATGCCAGGAAGATTCTGAAGGATTCTGGAAAAATCTCACTTCACGTCGTCCCGGATTCTGATTCTGAGGATTCTGAAGACTCTGAGGATTCAGGAGAAGAGGATTCTGGAGATGAAGACGTCGTGGTTGTCGAGGAGGTGGCTCCAAACCGCCAACGTGGAATTCGACGATTCGGAGGCTTCGTAGGCTTCAGAAGACGTTGTGGAGGATTCAGAAGACGTCACTCAGCTCCACCGTGCCAGAAACGTCGTCGCCTGAATTCTGAAGCGTCTGAAGGCGTCGGAAGATGTGAAAGAAGACGTCATGGAGGAATTGGAGGCTTCAGAAGACACCATCATGGATTCCCAGGATTCAGTAGACGTCAAGGAGTATTTGGAGGATTCGGAGGCTTCCCAGGAGGACCAGAAGACCCACGTGGACCATTCCCAGGCGCCGAAGGAGCCAGACGACGTCACGGATGTGGAGGAAGAAAGCGTAGAGCAGATGGACCCCATGGAAACCAAGGATTTGGACAAGGACCCCATGGCCACCATATGGGATCCCATGGATTTGGTCACCATGGATTTGGAGGATTCGGAGGATTCGGAGGACGTCATCATGGATTTGGAGGTCACCATGGCCACCATATGGGATCCCATGGATTTGGCCACCATGGATTCGGAGGATTCGAAGGACGTCATCATGGTTTTGGAGGTCACCATGGTCACCATATGGGAGGACCCCATGGATTCGGTCACCATGGATTTGGAGGATTCGGAAGACCATGCTAAATTTACCCTGTTTTTTTTTGCCCCGCCCACCTTTTTTGACCTACTTTAATTATTTCCGATAATCTCAAACCTTTTTCTCATTCCAAAAACATTTATTTTAAATTTTGAAAAATTTCTTTGTGCAATAATAAATCATGTATTTTTTGAAATAACTCGGTTTTTTTGTTTTTGAATTTATAGAAAAAAAAAATGGACATCCGGATATACGGATTTACAGATATTTGCAGATTTTCAGATTTCCCTAGAACTTTGAAATTTTCGAAACGTTCTGAACTATACACGATATAATATGAATGACAAAAAATATTTGCGATATTCCTCAAAATGTTTTGGACATTTAATGAGTAATACAATAAATGAAATACCATAAGTTGGAATTGAAATGAGTGAAGTTATCCAATTGAGGATTAATACAAAGAATGGCTCTTCATACTGACAGGAAGGGCTGAGCATTTCTTTTTGACAACAAACATCTGGTTAGAATAACTAAAATTGAGGGAAAACATTTTTCAGTTCAGTTAGTGAGAACAGGTGAAATGAAAATTGGAAAAGGCATTTTGTAGATTGCTGATCCATGATGTCGGTTTTAACTTTTGAAAAAAAAACTTTGCAAGATACAAAACTTTCTGAAAATGTTTTTAAAAAACCAGAAGGCTGTTCTTGATGTTTGAAATATACAGAAAATAAGATAATTTTTTTTTAAAAATCAAAAATTAAAACCTTCAAAGGGCGACACCAAAAATTTTTATTGCATTAAAATGTTCGAAAAAATATGTATTTTCCTAATATCATGGCGAAAAAATTGAAAAAAAAAACCTAAATCCCCGAAAAAGGGCGTTGCAAAAAAAATAGGATTTGAATTCCCGCGCAGTGAGAAACCTAGGCCACGGCATCATAGCGCCCTTCTTACATGGAAATTTTTCCGGATTTTTTCGGG